TGGTAAGTAGCAGCGGCTCGAGGAGGCAGAGTCTTCCCGGAGGGAAACTCGGAAAAGAGCTACACTTTTGGAGTTGGCGAATAAGAGCCTTTCTACTGATCGGGACAATGTTCGGTCAACGATTGAAGCTAAGGAGGCCAGGCTTGAGGAGAGGATTGGCAAATTAGAGAATGAGAATGCCAAGCTACTTGAGTGGGTCTCTGCTCTAGAGGTCGAGAATGCCAGACTACTTGAGCGACCCTCTACTTCTTCTGCCTCTAAGTTTCAGTCCATCTCTCAAGAGCGATTTGAGGAGTTGATCCTTGCCGAAGCCTGAGTAGAGGTGGTCCGCGAGTTGGGTCAGACATGCTTTGTCTTTGAAACAACTTTGGAAGAGGCTCGAGCTAAGGCTTGCAAAGCTCAGATGGCCTATGGCTATGACCCCGACACACCTCAGCCTGATGCCGAGGATGATGATGAATGAGGCTTTGACCAACTCGAAGGCAGTGCCTGGTATGACTCTGCTTACGACCATTAGATATTTTGCCTTTGTTTTTGTTTAACTTCCTTTACTTTTCTCTCTTCCTGGCATCTTTGTGCGCCTTTGTAAAGACTCTTTATCTAAATATCAAAGTTGATTTTTGTTTTATACACCCCTTTCTTATCTTTGCATGTTTCGTTTATGTAGTTATGTGTTTTGCTTTTGTACTTCCTTCCTTCATTGTCATCCTCTGGGTTGTGATGGTCATGGGGTTGAGTGGCCGTGGGCTGAGGAGTTTATTTTGATCAAACTAGTCGAGCGTGTCTCTTAGTTTAGATGTGGCCAAGGGCCGACAGGTGTTGTTCGAGCTGGTCGAACATACCTTTTATTTAAGTCGAGGCTAAGGGACGGTAGGTGTTGTTCGAGCTGGTCGAACATTCCTTTTTTTTGAGTCATGTCCAAGGGCCAATAGGTGTTGTTCAATCTAGTTGAACATACCTTTTTGTTGAGTCATTGACAAGGTTCGATAGGTGTAGTTCGAGTAGGTTGAATATACCTTTCCATTGTGTCATGGCCAAGGGCTGATATGTATTGTTTGAGCTGGTTGAATGTACCTTTTTGTGGAGTCATGGCCAAGGTCCGATAGGTGTTGTTCGAGTTGGTCGAACATACCTTTTCGTTGAGTCATGGCCAAGGGCCGATAGGTGTTGTTCGAGTTGGTCGAACATACCTTTTCGTTGAGTCATGGCCAAGGGCCGATAGGTGTTGTTCGAGCTGGTCGAATGCATCTTTTTTGTTGAGAGAATTATGAGAACAATTTCAATGAACGGGTATCTCATTTATTTTAACATCATTTCATCGATTACATCATTTTGCCCTGAGTCTTTTTGGAGAACATTACAAGTTTTGGGTGCTAGCTGTCGTTCTATTCTTAGTCCCAGTATATCTAGTCCCTTCATTGTTCGATTTGGAGATTCTTGAGCAGTCGGGAATTAAAATGTATTTGTCCTCGCGTACCCCAACTTGAAAATGTCCTGTCCGTCGCCTTGTAAAAAACCTCCTTGAGAAAACCCCGTTGGGACAAAACTCAAGTGAAGAGAAAAGAGCACGACTTACGGGGCACTCCTTGTTTCTTAGAAGTTGATGTATTTGAGGTGGCTGATGTTCCAATTGTTTGGTAAGGGCTTCCCTTCCAATGTCTCTAGTTGGAATGAACCCTTGTGTGACTTGCCTATAATTTTGTATGGCCCGTCCCAATTGGCTCCTAATTTGCCTTCTCGGGGATCTCTTCCTGCTTGGGTCTTGGCTTCGAGCATATAGACCCCGATCTTGAGTAATCGTACCTTGGCCTTTATGTTGTAGTAGCATTCTGCTTGCTATTTTTATGTGACCATTCTTATGTACGCCATGTCTCTTCGCTCTTCGATCTCATCAAGGTCTTGTCTTCTGCCCTCGTCATTGTTGTTTCCACTCTCATTGGTGTACCTTAGGATGGGTTCTCCTACTTCAACCGGTATGACTGCTTCCGTACCGTAGACTAGGGAGTAAGGTGTTTCTCCTGTGCTTGTTTTTGGGGACGTCCTGTGTGCCTACAATACTCCTGGGAGTATCTCCAGCCACAATCCCTTGGCGTCTTCGAGTCTCTTCTTCATGATGTTCAAGATTGATTTGTTGTAGGACTCTGCTTGCTCGTTGCTGGGTGGTAAGGGGACGAGAGTATCCTTTTAATGTGTCTTTTTTCAGAAAACTCGGTGGTTTTTCTTCCCGTGAATTGGGGTCCGTTATTGCAGCTTATTTCTTTTGGCAGGACAAATCGGCAGATGATATTCTTCTATATGAAAGTGATTACCTCTTGCTCGCGAATATGGGCAAATGCGCCTGCTTCTACTCATTTAGAGAGGTACTCAGTTAAAACTAAAAGGAATTTAACATTACCTCGTCCTGGTGGAAGTGGTCCCATGATGTCCATTTCCCACTTAATGAACGACCATGGGAAGGTGGCAGAATGGAGGTGTTTGCCTGCTTCGTGGATTATTGGGAAAAACTTCTGGCACTGTTCGTATTTCTTTATGAATTCCAAGGCATTTTTCTTCATGGTGCACCAATAGTATCCTGCTCGTATGAGATACCGAACCAGTGCTCTGTCAACAGAGTGAATACCAAAATGGCCTTCGTGGACTTCCTTGAGGATGCGTTTAGTTTGATTTGGGCCAAAGCATTTTACTAAGGGGCCATTGTACGTTCTTTTATACAGCTCGTAAGGATGTTTTATCTTGCTGTTTGCATTCTCAGCTTCCTGGCTTCCTTTTTATTATTTGGGAGGGTACCGTCCTGCAAATAGTTTGTAATAAAATTGTGCCAGTCCTAGGTTAGGTTTACAGATTTTACCTCGACGTGGTCTAGTGCCGAGCTGAGGAGATGCACCATGCTGTTGTCCTTAGGAGTTATGCATTTTGTTGCGGCGGTCAATTTTGCGAGGCCGTCTGCCTCGACGATCTGAGTTCATGGAATCTGGTCGACCTGGAATTCATCAAATTTGGACAACAATTTTCATATCTCGGTATGGTACTTTTGCAACCTTTGTTCTTTGATCTGGAAAGTCCTGGTTACTTGGTTGACGATGAGTTGGGAGTCATAGCGCAGTTGTGGGTGCCTTGCCCCATATTCGAATGCTAGCCTCAGTCCTGCAATCACGACCTCATACTCTGTCTCATTGTTAGTCATATATGGGCATCTTATAGATTGGCGAATGACTCTACCAGTGGGGACTTCGAGAACGAGTCCCAGTCCGGACCCGCATGCATTGGATGTGCCGTTAGTTTGCAAGACCTAGAGGTCCTACGTCAGGTTAGAATCTTGAGCAGCTTCCTTCTCAGCCTCAGGCATCACCTTGGCACTGAAGTCCGTGACGAAGTCGGCGAGCACATGTGATTTTATCACTGTGCGAGGCTGGTAAGTGATGTCGTGCTCACTTAACTCGATTGCCCATTTGGCCAGCCTCCTCGACAGCTCGAGTTTGTGTAGTATGCTCCTTAAAGGGAATGTGGTGATGACCGAGATTGGATGGCACTGGAAGTATGGCTTGAGCTTTCTTGAAGCTACGACAAGGGCCAGGGCTAGTTTCTCGAGTTGAGGATACCTCGTCTTGGAGATTATATACCTTTGTCTTCTCGGACTTGGACTATACTTACTGCTACTTCTAAGACAACGATGTAGACGAGGAGAGGTTCCCCATGCTCGGGTTTTGAAAGCAAGGGTGGCAATGATAGGTATTCCTTGAGTTCCTTCAATGCTAGTATACATTCAGGCGTCCATTCGAGGCCGTTGTCCTTTTGAGTACATTAAAGAACCTATGGAACCTATTGCCTGACCTCGAGATGAATCTGGACAGGGCGGCGATTCAACCCGTCAGCCTTGATATGATCTGGGTTGACTTCGATTCCGCATTGTGATACCAGGAAACCCCAAAACTTGCCCAAAGTTACGCCAAACACGCATTTCTTGGTGTTCAGTTTCATCCCATATTTTCTCAATATCTCGAATGCTTTCTTCAGATAGTCAATGTGATCCTCGGCCCTCAAGTATTTAACCACATGCCGTCGATGTATACTTCCATGGTTTTGCTGATATGGTTCTTGAATTTCTTCGTGACCAGCCTTTGGTAGGTAGCTCCCGTGTTCTTCAACCTGAATGACATGACCCTGTAGCAGTACATTCCCCTATGAGTGATGAATGTGGTTTTCTCTTGGTCATCTTCTTCCATGAGTATCTGATTGTAGCCTGAGTAAGCATCCAAAAAACATAGCAACTCATGTCCCGTTGTGGCGTCGATGAGCTGATCGATGTGTGGTAATAGAAACAAATCCTTCGGGCAGGATTTGTTCAGATCGGTGAAGTCCACGCACATTCTCCACTTCCCGTCCTTATTTTTGACCATTACAACGTTAGCAATCTATTTGGTGTACTTTGAATCCCTAATAGATCTGTTCGCCAATAGTTTCTCCACCTCCTCGTGGACGACCTCGTTGATGGTAGGGTTGAACTTTCATCAAACCTACCTTACTGGGAGGTAGAAAGGATCGATAATTAACCTGTGTATGGCTATCTCTTTGGGGATGCCTGACATATCTGCATGGCTAAAGGCAAACAAATATGCATTAGCTATTAAGTATTGACTAAGTTTACCTGGGTCTTTGAGTTTGCAACCGATGTAGGCCTTTTTGCTGGGGTCACTTTAATCTAGTTGGACGGGATCGAGGTCCTCAATGGTTGATCCTACAGCTTCGACCACCTCTGGGTCCATAATGGTGTCCTTGGCTTCGACCTGTAGGTACCTCGACCATGCGATCTCTATGCTTCTTTTTCTTTTTTTTTCTCGATTGTCGTGTTGTCACGGGCGATCCGATAGCACTCCCGGGATGTGTGCCGCTTATCTCGTACACTGAATATTCCCCAAAGGGGTCAGGAACTTGATTACTTGGTATAGACTGGAGGGGACTGCCTTCATGGGGTGTATCCATGGTCGACCTACGATGGCATTCTATGTCGTGTCCTGATCCATGACGTGGAACATGGTCTCCAGCGTCACCCCATCGGTGAGGACGGGGAGTGTGATCTCGCCCGAAGTTTGTTCAACTGTATTGTTAAAACCGGTTAGTGTTATGAAGTGCGGCACTATCTTTTCCTCAAGTCCCATTTGTGCGAGGACTCGAGGATGGATGATGCACGCTCCGCTTCTGTCATACACCATAATTCTCCTAACATTAGTATCAAGGATTCGTAAAGTAATGATAAGTGCATCATTGTGAGGCAAAGTTAAACCGTCGGCATCTAACTCATTGAAGATGATACTCTCTTCAAGGCCATCATACCGTTCGTGGGTGATTGATCGTTTGAGTTTTTGAGTGGCGGTGAACTTGATGCCATTGATTGAGGCGTCGTTGCTGCCACCAATAATTAGGTTGATTGTGCAAGCGGGCGAAGGCAGATTTGGTGGGCCTGGGCATTCTTGACCCCTTGCTAAAGTGTTCCTACCTTTGTAGCTGAGTAACTCTTTAAGGTGTCCTTGTTGCAACAGGTTCACCAGTTCTAACTTTAGAGCGTGGCAGTCTTTCATCTTGTGTCCATGGTCTTGGTGGAACTCACAAAAGGCATCAGACTTCCTGGTGCTTGTGTCGGACCTCATCTTTGGTGGCCACATCACCTTTGTTCCGAGCTTCTCAAGTGCATAGACCACCTATGTAGGCGACATACAAAAGTTATGAGCAGATAGTAAGGGGGCATACCTCGATCATTTTTGTCGATGTATGACCTTAGCTTGGAGGGGCCATCTTCTTGGCGAAAATTGGGAACGGGTGCCCTGATACAAGGTTGGTATCGACTACACTGAGGTGAGTCATCGGGTTGTCCCATTGAGGTCTTCATCATCTGCCCTGACCTAGGCATAGTAGGCATTTTGGATCTCATCCCAAGTATTCGGTGGGTACTTCATCAAATGGCCCAGAAGCTTTCTGGTTGCCTTTGAGCCTTTTCTATTCAGCCTGTTTTGGAAGGATGCCATGGCCATTACTTCGGAGACATTTGTCAAGGTCATCCTCACCTTATTGAGTCGGGCCAAGAAGTCCCTCAATCCATCCCCTGGGGATTGTCTGATGGCAAAGGTATCATTCACCCTCATTTCAGCTTTCTTAGGCCCAGCATGCACCGTCACAAACTTGTCCGCCATCTCTTCGAATGTTTCTATGGAATAGGCTGCCAGCTGTGAAAACCATGATAACGCCACTCTTGTGAGGGTTTCACTAAAAATTTTCAACAAGATGGAGGACACCTGCTCTTTGGTGAGGTCGTTGCCTTTCACAGCAGTGACATAGTGGGTTACATGGTCCTTGGGATCAGTCGTTCCATCGTAGATTCAGAGGTATGGGGGCATCTTGAAAGTTTTTGGTATAGCGTGAGGAGCCGCTTCTTCCCTGTATGGAAGGAAATGAGAGATTCAGGAGATAGATACAAGTTTCAACAAGTAAAAGAAGCAAGATGAAGAAGGGTACGAGGCACCCAGTTAATAAAAATTGTCAGTATTTGCGATGCAAGCAGAGAAATATAAGCATTTTGAGTTACCTTCAATTGTAACAGAGGTATGTACAATTGGCCACACCCGTCTCAGTTATGCTCCATGGGAGACAACAGATATAGTTAAGAGAAGGACGGGATATCAGGATCCAGTTAGGGTAAAAGTAACCCAAAATGTTGGATGGATTGTTTGCGTTAGTTGACATTTCCGAAGGATAGTGCAAACGTGATAATGGATCTCCTTGTGAGACACCTAGATGGTGCACTCTAAAATAGTACAGCTAGATGTGAGTGCTACAAAGATAGGCACTGGAAGCCTAGAAAGGATAAATATTATCTTAGTATGACTCCCGTCCCTAGTAGAGAGATAATGCTAGGCAACTCGAAGAGCCACTGGATGGAGCAAAGGGGAGCTAAGAACAAAAAAATATCTTATTCGAGTTTTTAGAATAAAGTGATAGACATAAATGTTAGCGGGAAATAAGAAAAGAGTTAATGAAGCATTATAAGTAAGATATGATACATGGATTACAACGGTAGATCAAAAGATGACAGTATTACAGAGTCTATAGTCAAGTGAAGGAAAAGACGAGAGGTGACAAGCCTTGAGACAACAAAAGAGTATAGGCCATAAAGTCATATCTCATTTCGAGAAATAAGCTTGTGACTCTAACGTGACTACCAGAAGGAAAGGTTAGACCCCAGAGTAATAGAAATCAGTATGGAATGATGATCAAGGTAAACTAAACATGAACTAGGGACTGAGTAATAGTCGGCATCATGAGAATTTCAGAGATTGCGTCCTGGCGATGATAGAATGTAGGACAGAAGAATACCCTTTAAAGGTCATTCAGGAAGACGCTTCCCTAAAGCAAGCAAGGTGAGCAAAGTTAAGCTTAAGAGACTGTGTGTGCCGGTTACACTAAGTGTCACCCTCGCGACTGAGGAATTTTGTTATCCTTGGTATAGAAGGATTACTGCAAGGTGAGTAAGGGTCATCGATGATGTGAAAGGACGCCAAAGATGAAGAGGTAAAACATCTATAGGTAGATCGTCGTAGCTCCAACTCTTAGTACTCCTCTAAAGGGGTGAATATGGAGTGATGTGGTATTAAGTCAGAATTAAGTGGTTCTAGTAACTATGGATTAATAAAGGAAGAATGTGATAAGAATGAGAAAGGGATAAGATTGCCCTTATTCAAATCCTACAGATATGTTACGATTCCAGAACAGTATGCAAACACGACGTCAAGGAGAGGAGGTAAGGGTTCCTTCCTGAGATGTTATTGATAGATAAGGAGCTAGTGCGGGACGTAAGTTAAGATAAAGGAAATGACCCATGAAAGATTACGCAAAATATTGATATGAGAATGAACCAATTAGTAGTTAATAGTTGATTCAGGAAGAGCCTAGTATGGCTAGACAAGAGGATACAGACAAATCAACAGGTCGTGCAAGATAAACATAGTGAACCCCAACATGGGGAAATTCAGTCTCGCAGATATGACATTGTAATACTTGAGAAATATTCAGATAGGAGTCGGGGTAGTTAAAGGTACCGTATGAATGTTATGAAAATAAAAGATAGTCCTACTGGGAAGATAGTCAAAACTTCAGTTCAGGAGCAACCCTACAAGCACAAGGGCGTGGAGGTAAGTAACTACGGATAATTATAGGCGAGGAAGGACATCAAAAATTCCGTCGAGTAAATGATGTAATAAGATCGCAGCTTTACAAGAGTCAGAGGGTCCTCCCTAAGTACGACAATGAAAGACTAGCTGAGAAAATAAGGAAAAAGGCTTCAACCTAAGCATAGTAACTTGAAGAAGAAATGGTCTTGTAATAGCAGTCTCACAACAGCATTGTATGCACTCCATAAGAAAGTGGCACCTATCGGAGCTAATGAGCGGGAAATGAAACCAAAAGTAATATTCGAGACCATGTGAGTTGCACAAAAATTCTGGCATTCATGGGAACTAAGATAAGCTAAGTATACACACGACACAGGGGCAGAAAGATCAGAAAAAGTAATAGCTTACATTTAAAAGAAGCTCGGAAGGAACAAAAAGGATTATGCACTTGAGACTTTAGAGTGATATCCATGCAGCATATATGTTGATATTCATACAGCCGTAAAATACTCCGGTATAACTTAAAAGAAAGAATTGAGCCCAGGGTATAAGCAAAGGATTGAATTGTTAGAAAATTGTATCATGGGTATTCTATAGCACCCATGGAAGGCTATAGTAATAACTAATACCAGGAGCCGCCGATCGGAAGATAGCTTAAGCCTACATAAAGGCTGATCAGAAGAAAGAGCAAACTAAAGAGTTATATCAACCAAGTAAATCAGGAGTCTGAAGAAATTATGATTGAGAATACTGTAGAATTACTCTTAATATCAGAGGTACAAGAGAGGTAGTATAACAGCCATATTCTATAACGGCCCTACGATAAAGCCAGTTGGAAAAGTACCAGCCTTATAAGAAGTCAGTACGAAGCTCCCACCAGATAGTGTATGCACCAGAGGTGCAAGTATTATAATAGAGCTTCGAGTTATGGACGTGAATTATACTTATATGGAAGGGAGTCATGAAAGAGATAGAAGGTACGATACAAGATTTTAAGGTAGTAATACTTAAATGCAGAAGGTTGTGTATAGTCCATACTTCAGATAGAATGCTAGAAGCGTTGGGATTCAGTATCCAGGAATAATAGCAACATCGTCAGTGGCATATATCTTCCAGCCTATGGTTTCTATGTACCGAGAGGCCTAGTTAAGAGAATAAAGAAGAGTTTGAGACGATGAGATGTCTCGCTTGATGTTCCAAAATAACACAAGGAAATCTATGGTGCAAGCAAGTTGAAAGAAGGATGCGAATAGTATAACTAGATATGTGTAGGTCGCAAGCTAAAGTATGGTAAAGCGACAAGGTTTTAGGAAGACATGAATAAGGATAAGAAAGGGCGAGTGAGAAGGTGACGAGAATGGATAAGTCCTCAAGATTAAGCCCATGAAAACAAGAGAGTTGATGATTTTTCTAAGTTATAGAAAACTCAGTATAGTCTGACTGAACTCAAAGAAGTCTAAGACTAATGACATTTAGAAGAGATGGAATGCCGCCCTAATAGTACAATGAGGGTATAATTGTGATAGATAAAGGATGACTATTGGGCCTTCGATTGAGTAATGATTTGATGATTTGTACAGGAATAAAATACCCACGTAAGGAGAATCACATTGGGATGCTATGAAATACGAGAAGTACAGTATCGTATCACCCCCAGGTGGATCAGGAAAATCACTTCAGATGTTCCATGACGCAACGTGAGCCCTAGTGATTATGTAAGAGGTTTCAAGTTATCAGTGGTAGATTGTAGATCAATATTGAGGTGAATCAATAATGGATGAACAAAATTCACAAAGTACGAGATGAGAATAGGCCGTTATTCTTAAGATGAACAATAATGAGGAAGCATTAAAGGACTTAGATTTATACATATGGGATAAGCAACGAAAGTAACATGGAATTCGATAGCAGACCTCAGTAACGATAAATCGAAGTAAGAGTTATGGTATAGTATGACCTACCTAGATGCAGTAAAGTCATACGAATGGATAACCGGGCCTATGAAATAAGATATAGAAATATTCATAAGTTCAACAAAGTATCGAGCAAAGAACTTCAGTATACCTATAGATTCCTAGAGAGACATCTTATCAAGCTCTGTATATGCTTACAAATTGAGGCCTAGAGATTGGCTAAAATAAACTGGAGGAAAAAAGGAAGAGAAGAGTCGCATAGGTGCACATACAAGGAAAAAGTCGTACATGCTGCATTACAGAAGGTAGCAAGAGTTACGAGATTGGAAGAATTCCGACCATAGACCGTGGTGTGAGAAAGAGGCCTAAAGGGGGGGAATGCCGTGGCCTTTGGATTTATTCACAGAACAGTTGCCTAGATGGCAAGAAGAGTATTAAAGTATTCGTAAGAGCTATGGGTTATGAGAATGATAAGTGCATTAGTCAACATTCGAGGAAGAATATTTCAAAGGGGGGAATGATGTTACACCCCATGTTTTCATACATGGAAGTACGCCATAAATAAATTAATGGAAGTTCGGGAATGGAATTATTTTGAGATTATAAGCATTATGCCATTTCAAAAAAGTGATGAGTAAATTCGTAAAGGTGAGAGGGGAAGCAAGTCAAATAAAATGAATTT